AATATTCATCGCTGATTAGAGGAACTTTGTAGATTTTCTACATCTTCAACTTGATGAACTTAGATAATTTCCAGCTTAAGGGACTTAGGATATTCATTGCTCATCTGAAGAACTTAGGAGAATTCCATGCAACTTCAGTAAGAGGACTTAGGAGATATGTGCATATATGCGGAACACTGTTCAGGACAAGACAATAAACATTTGTGATAGACACTTTACTATAAATATACAAGTAGTTTTGCATAAAGGACTTTGATAACAGCATCTCTGAAACTGAAACTTAGTATTAACTATCGATTTATATTGTATTATTTTTGAGGCGTAAGAAGCCAGAATATATGTTGTTAATTTTATATTAAATATTGTGTCTCTTTATTCATGCGTACATTTAATGTGTACCAAGTATCCTACGAAGTATCCTGGTCTGATTAATAACAACATCCACACTACCACAAATCAGGCCAGACGTTACACTATTTTCTTTACTTTAATGCTATTTTACTGTTATTGAAAATTGTATGCTGGATGCACATGTGACGGACTTGGGTCCTTATATGTAATAGTTTCAAGTCTTCTATCTCTCATTCATATTTTATAAACAGTATTGTACCAATATCAACCAATCACCATTGTGTATTTAGTTCCAGTTCTTATTCTAACAGAGGCCTGTGGCGTTCAGTCAGTGGCACACTTATATTTCCATTGTACACCAATCATATATGTTTAATTTGTAATGCTTAATTGTTATGGACACCACCGTCAGTCTTTAGGTCATAAATAATGTTTTGACATGCTAGCCACGTGTCATTGACCAATGGGCAAGACTGATATTCCTGTTTTGTGATAATCCCTGCCCCTTGGTTTGTCTCTGGGGAAGTATATAAGTTTCCCCACCCTCAGAAACGTCAGTCTTGCGCCCGCAGGTTTTCGCGTTTCCGCCTCTCTCTCTCTTGCTAATCAGCAGACTCATAGGAGAGGATAGTTTAGGATACGTAGAGTACATTTAGGAATAGGATATATTACATTGAACCCGTTAGTGCACTGAATTATTGGTGAGTTATTAATTGATTGATTGTTTTAATTGCATTGATTCATTGTCATATTGTTTGTTTGGTATTCCTACATTGCATCGGACGCTATAGTAGTTAGCAGAGTACATGTGAATTAAATGACTGGTATTGTCTTATTGTAAGTTTGTGAACACATCTTTGTATTAAATAGTTATAGTGTGCATTAAAAGACTCTGATTTATATAACCTTACATATTTATTTTGTTGTTTTATTCCATCATATTTGAGTCAAGCTTCCTTCATTACTTTCTAAATTCATTTCCCGACAATTAACTTTCTCCAACACACTTTAATTATCCAAACCCTTACGCCTGCCTACGGCGGGGTCGTTACATACGTACGTTTGGCCCTGAAAGGGCATCAGTACAAATAAGATCCTATATACAGGGTGATCACTAAGTTCTGGGAATTTATCTGTCATTTCATTATTTTTCAACCAATTTACTTGAAATTTTCAAGGTAAATGGGGAATGTAATTTTGGATTGGATTAAATAGTCTCATTGTCATCTGATGTCACAATGGATAATTATTGTTACTATAGCAACATGACAAATGGCGTAGCGGGTCAAGTAAAATATAAATGAATTCTAATTTTGCTTGATCCAAAAGTATGGTTAATAAATACCTATTTGGTGGACATATTTCTGTGATTTTTTATATTTTCAAATACTTATTAACTTTAGTTTCTAAAGTAACATCTGTATTGTTATATACTTTGCTCTATTTTTGTATCTTTCATCAACATCTCAAAGTCACAATCATGACTAAAAATAGCGGGGAGTTATCTTCCATTATGACTATGCTCCTTCCCATTACCCAAGCTGCCCATACTACTCTTGAAGAATTAGGGTTCACACAAGTTATTAGTGCCCCATATTCACAAGACAATATTCACCAGATGATGCACCATTAGACTTCACTACATTTTGAGTGCTAAAGCATTATATGAGAGGTCATAAGTTTGATTCCAATAAGGGACTGATTTCAACGACTTGAGCAAATCTTCAAAGGATACCAAAGGGAGGACTGGAACACATCTTTATGGACTAAGTTTGTCAACAACGCATGTGCGTCCAGGCTAATGGAAACAATCAATAAATGAAATGATCCTCTCAGCAATGAAGAATACTTCTGAATAAATGACTTCAAGAGTACTGTTCTGCCTCTAGTCCAAGTAGTTTGAAGCAACCATCTAGGCAAGATGAATATGTTTTGGCAGGAAATTTTCAAATTAACATCAGTCAAAATTTCCTGACCCGCGAACCACTTTTACTTTTTTGTAATTGCAATAAAATAAATTGAAGATGTGATATGTATATGAAATATTGCTTGTCAATTCAAAATTATACAATGTACACCTGCTGAAAATGTCAACTCAAATGGTTGAGAAATCTTGAAATGGCAGACCAATACCCAGAACTTAATGATCACCCTGTATATTAGGGTGGTCCAAAATATGGCGAAAAACCAACTTTGTTTCAGATCATCTTCCTCATTTCACTTACTGTTGTCCATGACCTAAAACACCTGCACACCAAATTTTGAGACCCAAATCACATGGGAAATTTACCCACGCTTCGACTAAAAATTCGGTTATTTCATGATTTTTTGCTATTTTCGATAAATTGTCATCTCCCTTTTCCTGGTATAAAATGTTTCTATTTTTTCATAATAAACATTTTTGTAGGACTCTTTATTACTTCATAATACTAGGAACCCATACACCAAATGTTGAGACCCAAATCCCATGGGAAATTTACCCACGCTTCGACTGAAAAATTCGGTTATTTCATGATTTTTTGCTATTTTCGATAAATTGCCATCTCCATTTTCCTGGTATAAAATGGTAGATGTCTTTTCATAATAAATATTTTTGGATGACTCTTTATTACTTCATAATACTTAGGAACCGATACATCAAATTTTGAGACCCAAATCCCATGGGAAATTTACCCACGCTTCGACTGAAAAATTCGGTTATTTCATATACAATACAATACATCTCTATTTTCCTGGTATTATATGTTTCTATTTTTTATAATAAATATTTTGGGAGGACTCTTTATTACTTCATAATACGAGAAACCCATACCCCAAATATGCAGCAAATTTTGAGACCCTGGCCCCATGAGAAATTAATCCATGCTTCAACCAAAAATTTGTGATTTTCTGCGAATTTTCTCCTATTTTCAATAGATCAACATTAATCTTATATTTAGTTTTTAAACATTTTAGGAGGACATTAATACGTTCTTAATACTAGGAACCCATACATTTAATATGTACCAAATGTTTAGACCTGAACCCCATGGGAAATTCACGTTTGCTTTGATCATATACTTTTAATTTTTGTCGTTTAGAGCACCATATCATTGTTGTGTGATGTGCAATTTGTAATAAATTGTATTACACGTTGTCTTAATTATCCTGTTTGGCCTTACATACGTTACATCGTGAAAGATGGTTATATAGTACTTTAAGGTAATTCCTTATTTTCAGTTTTAATGGCTTCCTAATTGGAGCCCCGTGTTTTTTCAGGAACACATAACTCATTCCATTCAGATGCACAAACAGTGTATAAACATAGCACATAGTACATTATAGAAAATTACTAACCATCAACTAATAATCTAAATACATATTTGAACTCAGTGTAAAATTGAAAGAGCTGACCAAGTATGGAATGAGTTCCAGAAATAACATTGGACTCCACTTAAAATTTCTGAACATACAGAATTACCTTAAGTGTTTCTCATTGCTCTTCCTATATTCTACATTGTGTACTTTCAGGGCATGAAGCTCGAATCCCTTGAAGATTTGGTACAGGCTTACTGGTTACAACAGAGACCATGCCATTGATACATTGATCAATCAAAAAATCATTTCTCCAAAGAAAATCAGATTTGATATTTGACCTTACCCTGCAAAGATGTGAGAAAGAATATGACATCTCACACAAATCCAAACAAAGTCCTGTGATGTATCCCTACTGAAAACAACAAACCAAATCTTCAAGGCATTTGAGTTGCTGTCGAGTCATCACTTCTTAATATTAACCACAGTATATAAATGTACAAGTAAAAGATCCTAAATTTTCCCCAAACTACTGAATTTGTCGCCTTTCAATAAGACTTAAAGTCTTGATATTTAGGTGTTTCTTTGGATTAAGAAGGAATTACCATAATGTTTATTAACATATTATGCCCCTAAAACAGACATCATAAGCTATCATAAGCACCAGTTTTCAGTCAAAGCATGGGTAACGTTCTCATTGGATTTGGGTCTCAAAATTTGGTGGATATTTGGTGTATGGGTTTTTAGTATTATGAAGTAATAAAGAGTCCTCAAAAATGTTATTATAAAAACATATCGTACCAGGAAAATGGAGACAGCAATTTATTGAAAATCGGAAAAAATGTGAAAATCACAATTTTTCAGTCAAACCATGGGTAAATTTCCCATGGGATTTGGGTCTCAAAATTTGGTGTATGGGTTCCTAGTATTATGAAGTAATAAAGAGTCCTACAAAAATGTTTATTATGAAAAAATAGAAACATATTATACCAGGAAAATGGAGACAGTAATCTATTGAAAATCGGACAAAACTGTGAAAATCACAATTTTTCAGTCAAAGTATGGGTAAATTTCACATGGGATTTGGGTCTCAAAATTTGGTGTTTGGGCTCCTGGTATTATTAAGTAATAAAGAGTCCTACAAAAATGTTTATTATGATAAAATAGAAACATTTTATACCAGGAAAAAGGAGATGGCAATTTATCGAAAATAGCAAAAAATCATGAAATAACCGAATTTTTCAGTCGAAGCGTGGGTAAATTTCCCATGGGATTTGGGTCTCAAAATTTGGTGTGCAGGTGTTTTAGGTCATGGACTACAGTAAGTCAAATGAGGAAGATGATCCGAAAGAAAGTTGGTTTTTCGCCATATTTTGGACCACCCTACTGTATATATGGTGCTGCCAAGGGATATTACAACTAAAAATTTGTTTAAACTTCCAAGGTGTACTGATCCGTAGTTTACTTTATTAAATATCTTGTTATCTTTATTTCCAAATCACTCACCTGGGCATACTCCTGGACAGCAATTATTTTCTCTCAAACATTCATTCCAAGAGCAATGTCGGATGCATTGAGCTGAAATAGATTATAATAAGTATACAACTAGAATGGTTAATTGAAGAGAGGTCAATTTAAATCCCCAGATTGAAGCCGAATGAGTAGCTTAGTAAGTAGTTGAGTAGGCAGCTGCCAGCAAACAACTAAATAGGTAGCTGAGTAAGTAGCTGAATTAGTAGCTTGTAGTTGAGTAGGTACCGTAGATCTGATCTAGCTGAGAACCAGTAAGTAGCTGTAGCTGAGCAAGAAGAGCATGAAGCTGGTATTTTTAAATTCAAACTGACGGCATTGACTTAACATGGGGATATCATCATATCTATTTTCTCAAAACGTCATTGGATTTTGACGTCATTATTAGAGAGGTTTTGCACAACGTGTAACTTAAAACGTATCCGCAACCGTATCTCATTACATTTACGGATACGGTTTCCGATAATTTTCGTTTCGCAGTAAGCTTACGTTTTTTGATCGTGAAAATGGGACGGAGGGGGAGGGGAGGAGCAGTCAGTTTCTCCTAGAAAATTTAACAAATCTGGAAGATTTATTTTTTCAAGAAAATGTTTACTATTGAATTGCTGAATGGATAGGCGCAGGGTATGGTAAAATACATGTTAGGCTTCTGTCATTCTGGTATGCAAGAGCTCCTCTTGTCTGCCGTTAGCGAGAGAAGGAAAAAAACAAAGGGGCGCGGCTATCGCGATGGGCTTCTGTGTCTTTTCTGAAACGATACGATAGGTATGACATCTATTGAAAAAGGCGCAAGGCCTCCAACGTGCACAAGTCAACGTTTTTGTTATAAAACAAGCAACAATAGTCTACACGACCTGTAATAAATACTTGCAAGTGACGTTATCATAACTAAATTAATACCATAGCTGACTTTCTAAAATAAGTTTCCATCTGTTTTATAAAAAATAAGCAAAAATAATTAAAATGGGATGGAGGGGGGGGGGGACGGAGGGGGAAGCAATATATCTATAAAAAGTGAAACAACTTTACACAAATTTTTGAAATTGAAAGATGAACTCAGTAACTTAGTGAGAATTTGAACCTCTGAAGAATGAAACAATTGGGAAAGGAGTTATAAGACATAAAGTCAAGTCACATCTCTTTCCATGTCTTATATACATATACCATACGTATACCTCACCTGTTAAATCGGGAGAAATTCCGATCTTTTATTGCTCATCCCGATTTATTTTTCAAAATCCGGAATTTTGTCCCGATTTTAAGGAAATATCCCGATTTTTTGTAAAATATCCCTATTTTAAAAAAATGTTCACATTTTTCGTAAATTATCCAAATTCTTTTCATAAAATATCCGGATTTTGTGTTAAAAACTCCCGATTTGATAACGAGACATCCTGATTTTTCAGTAAAAAGTCCAGATTTTTAAATGGTACCCTCCCGCTTTTCGTTCAAAACTCCGGATTTGTTAATAAGATGCCCTCGCAAAAAATGAAAGTATACGACAGGTTTTGTGATAAAACAAAATACAGAAGCTAAGTACACATACAAAATACACTTGTAAAGCTCTTTCATCTTCTTTTAACTACAGTATTCTAGACCAGAAATAAATCGAACGTTCTGGAACTGAAAAATTCCGACCAATTGAAACGCATATAGAAGGCATTTTGTGATAAAACGAAATAGCGTAGATACTATTTTCTCCCGATCATTTTTGTAAACCCCGCGCGATTTCCTCCCGATTTTCATTGTAAACTCCCGATTTCTCCCGATTATCCTAATCAATCCCGATTTTCTCCCGATTATTTTTGTAAACTCCGATTTCCTCCCGATTTTCATTATACCCCTACTCTCACACCAAACTAGTTCTCACTGCGTTTTCGAAAACGGGCTTCAACTGTGTACGAAATGACTGGATGTACCTAGAACCGTTTGGGGTATATTTATAAACTTCATCGAACGTACTTGAACGGGTAGGTCCTCTAGAACTTAGGACATGCTCAAAATGCTCTCGTTTTCATCACGTTCTACAATTAGAACGAGTGACAACGTACTAATGACGAGCTGGCCGTACTACGAACGGAACCGTCGTACATCAATCCTACTAGGGACGTTTTTACAACGAGTTGAACTGTCTGAGGACGTATTGAGAACGAGGTAAAACTAATTGCAAACGGGTTTGAACTGATTAAGAGCGCAATAAAGACTGCTTATGTCTATCATACCAAACAAGTTGCCACTGCGTTCTTCAAAACTGGTTTTAAACTGTGTGCGAACGGAATGAACGTAGCTGCAACTTTCTAAGGACTATTTACGAACTTCATGAACGTTCTCAGATCGACGGGAAGGTGATTTTAGAATTTTGAAATGATTCAAAACTCGATGGCGACCATACCGTTCTGTAATCAGGTCATGATGACCTTCTATACTAAGGGACGCGTTTTACTACGTTGTACACCGACCTGGAGTGACCTGAACGAACTGCGAATGAGATGGACGTATTGAAGACTGTTTACAAACGCTTTCGAACCTTTTCTTACTAAGTTTACTTATAGTAACATTAATGCTCGTTCGAACATGACTGGATTCACGCCTTCTATAAACTCTGAACCGAGTCAACATTTCACTCAGGGTGCAGTGAAAGCAGAAAATGTTTGTGCCTAGCCCTGCGGGGTGTATTCGTCGATGTAACACATGCTCTTCGGTCTATTATTCTTTAATCTTGACTGTTCTCGAAAAGGCAATAAGCTGATATTACTTTTTACATTTTCATACAACTGACAAGATAATAAATGTTTTTTAAGCGTAAAATCAAAGCCAACAATATAATTAGAAAAAATAAGAAATCAGGACGGGATTGGAACCCGGGACGACCGCGTGCCGGGCGAGCGTTCTGCCAGTGTACTACCTCGACCTGAGGCCCGGGGTATACTGTCATTAATATAAAAAACAGTCTTATTCTTATCCATTAAGCTTATAAAAATCAGTCTTATTCTTATACATGTAAGTAATCTCAGTATAATATACTAGTCCCTGATCTGGTCCCTCTGAAAACAAGTTTTGTTGTCCGGTACTTTCCCACAAAAAATGATTGTACCGTTTGATAGAACAGACTTCCCTCTTAAAGAAAACACCTCTTATATTGATAGAAACAGGGGCAAAAGGCACAAAAATGGGGTTAGACAAGATTCTGAAGTCTCACTTTCTTGTCATCACGATTCCAGGAAAACCACCAGATGGATTTACTTCAAATTTTCACGCATGTTACATGATAAAAAGTTCTAGAGCTAACTAACTTTCCGGTGGCCATCTTGCATTCTGGTGGCCATCTTGGAATTTTTTTAGATAAATATTGTCATCGCGATTCCAGAAAAAACACTTAACAGATGTACTTCAAATGTTCCTCAGAAATGTGTATAGAATATATTTTGATAGAAACAAGTGCAAAAGGCACCAAAACGGGGTTAGACAAGGTGGCATTCTGAAGTCTCACTTTCTTGTCATCACGATTCCAGGAAAACCACCAAATGGATTTAGTTCAAATTTTCACACATGTTACATGGTAAGAAGTTCTAGAGCTGATTAACTTTTCGGCGGCAATCTTGCACTTTGGTGGCCATCTTGGAATTTTTTTAGATAAATATTGTCATCGCGATTCCAGAAAAACAACTGAACAGATGTACTTCAAATGTTCACACATGTTAAAATAGTATGGTAAAAAGTCCTAGACCTCATTATTTTTTCGGTGGCCATTTTGCATTCTGGCGGCCATCTTGGAAGTTTTTGGATAAATCTTGTCATTGTGATTCCAGGAAATCCACTTTACTGATTTTCTTGAAATTTTACACATGTTGCATGGTATGTTACATGCTACCTTTTATATTGATATAAACAGGGGCAAAAGGCACTAACATGGGATTAGACAAGGTGGCATTCTGAAGTCTCACTTCTTGTCATCACGATTCCAGGAAAACCCCTAGATAGATTTACTTCAAATTTTACATGCTTACTTACAATTTTACATTTATTTTTATGTTACATTGTAAGAAGTTCTAGAGGAGATTAACTTTTCAGCGGCTACCTTGCATTCTGGTGGCCATCTTGGAAGCTATAAGATAATTATTGCCATCCCGATTTCAGGAAAACCAAATGGATTCACTTCAAATGTTCACACATGTTACATGGTAAGAAGTTCTATAGCTGATTAACTTTTATGCTGCCATCTTGCATTGTGCCGCCCATCTTGGATTTTTTTTAATAAATCTTGTCATTGTGAGTCCAGGAAAACCACTGGACAGGTTTACTTCAAATTTTCAAACATGTTACATGGTAAAAAGTCGTAGAGCTCATTCGTTTTCCGGTGGCCACCTTGCATTCTGGCAGCCATCTTGGAAGTTTTAAGATAAATCTTGTCATTGCGATTTCAGGAAAACCAAACGGATTTACTTCAAATTTTCACACATGTTACATGGTAAGAAGTTCTAGAGTTGATTAACTTTTTGGCAGCCATCTTGCATTCTGGCGGCCTTCATGGAAGTTTTACATAAATCTTGTCATCATGATTCCAGGAAAACCACTTAACGGATTGTCTTAAAAATTTTTACTTTACATGGTAAGATGTTCTTCAACTGATTAACTTTTTGGCGGCCATCTTGCTTTCTAGGCCATCAAATTCGCACTGCTATATTTTAGGTACGATCTTCTTCACGATGTGCCTTGTTTACTCTGTTTTTTTAAATTTATACCACATAAATGCATTTTGTGTTTATACTCCCACAAAAAAGATTGTATTGTTTGATAGAACAGACTCCCTCATAAAGAAAACAGCTTTTATATTGATATGAACAGGGGCAAAACCGACGAAATATTAGTATTCGCGTAACATATTCTGCCACGCAAAAATAATTGGCGTGACTTCAAATTTTCGTGACAAATACGCAAATTGCGGGACAGTTGGATGGCCTGTATTCTTAAGACAACGTTAACTATGCTTCTGTAATAATTTGACATAAATGCATATTTCGTGCATGATATAATCTTCTATATTAAAAGAAACATAGGCAGCAGCCGCTTCAATGGGGTAACACAAGGTGATATTTAGCAGTTATGTCCCTATCATTGAATATATGCCTAAGGTCTGTCACCAATATAGCCCGAGCTTGCGAGGGTTATATTACGACAGACCGAAGGCATATATTCAATGAAACGGACATAACTGTTGTATTACATACTTTTATATCATGGCTACGTTATATCAATGACGCCACGTGTCTGTGTGCGAGTGAAATTAGGAAGAAATGAAACATGACATCCCGATGACGTCATAAGATTGTCATGGTAAAAGGTTTGGCGGCTATACAGGAATATATAGCCGACCTTCAGCTCCATTGACTTCAATACAAATGCTTCGCTGGGTATGTAATACTCTAAAATATAACTCTTTACTCTGTTTCTGTACTTTATACCACACAAATGCATTTTGTGTTTGACATCAATCGATTTTAGAATAGATAACTACCTTTAATTGGTGTAATTTAACGGACCTTATTTGAACTTCTAATTAGCTAGTCAAGTGACATTCTCAATTTAGAAATCTTCGAAAAATCAAATGACCGGCCTATCATCCGAGCAATCGAAGGACCAATCATCTTAATAACACCTTTATCGTGAGTATTTTTGCACAGCATTTTCTCCATTTGTTTATTAGTATTGTATATTCTCTCATTATAGCTCAAAATATCACTTGGGACCCCGGGAACAACCCAAGATTGCGTTTTTCGAAAAAGGCAGCTTTAAAGAGGCTCTTTGCCATAGGATAGCACAATCAAGACCCCTCTGGACTTTTTGCATTTTGAGTTTCACCACATATATAGCCATCTACTTACCAAAGAAGAAGTGCCAAATCCCCCTCTTTCAGTGTTAATTTTTCGATTGTGCTGGCCGATCTAATTATTTTCGAAGAAATTAATTCAATCTGAAGTTTGAATATACCGGGAAAGTACTTCTGTTATCTGATTGGTCGATGAATTTGATTATCATAAACCTGATTAGCTACCTGATTCAAGGCGCTTGTGGGCGCTTGTGTGACTCAATTGGAATTCCCCTCCCTAGCCGAGGAATCGATTATGTTTAATTCTGGAGTTCGGTTGTTCTGTTGATTATTTCTGATATTTCGGCAATAATATACCCAAAAGTTATTCTCAAGATATGACCATGGTATGTGAGATACGAGGGTATATCATAAAGTTCTCGTAATATCTCTCTATTTTTTCATTTTTCAATATATTCTGATGAATTTTTCACAGATGTGTAGTATACAATGCTGCATAATCTAACAAAACATATTTGGTATAACAGAAATATTATTTAAGAAATGGTTGCTATAGTAATCGAAAATCAAGGTACCTGGGGCAAATAAAAAATCGTGCAAGAATAGCCCCAAATAACCATGTTTGAATGCATAATAAGTTAACAAATAAGCTATGAAACACATCATATTGTAAAACACCTGGTCGACATCATGTCCCGATACGCCTGGATCAGACCTTTACACAATAAAACTGGAAAAGCTGTGGCATTCTTGACTGCTTTGAACTATTATAATGGTCATATGAATTTTGTGATATCATAATGGATGATTGTAATTGGTGAATGCTTCATTAGAAGTGATGTTAGACACTACAACTGTTTTTTCAAATATTCCAAGGAAAGTCGATTTTTCACTTTAGTTCATCTTTAATAAATAATAGACCACATATAGGGTGTAATTTTGATATCTTTGCAATCAGTATGAGCAAAGGATTTTTCGAACTAAACCAAACTTTTTATCGATAACACACAATTCACATGATCAATTTATTTTATAGTAAAAGCATTTTTAAACATCATATTATTCAAGATAACATTATAATGTGTTTGATAATCTATGAGAGTTTATTATGTATGTAAACAAAGTTAATAAAGCTCATTATATCTCAATTATTTTTATTTGCCCCGGGTGCCTTGATTTCTGGTAACTATGGCAACCATTACTCATGTAATATTTCTGTTAAACCAAATATTTCTTGATAGATTAATACAGTATTCTATACTGCAGATTCTATGAAAATTTCATGAGGATATGTTGAAAAATAAAAAATAGAGAGATATAATGAGAACTTTATGATATACCCTCGTATTATATGAGCAATAACAATAGGACATCATTGATTGTCTGGGGGAGAAACCTATGGCATGATGCATCTTTTAATACAATAATCACGATTATATTAAAACGTGTTCTAGAACATCAGAGTGCTTGAATTGGCAGACTGACTCTTTTACATATATTCTAATGTATAACAGTCTCTCCTAATCTAAAACTTTTGAGAGTGTCTATATTCCTAGGGATAGTCAAGACTGCTGATCCCACAACAATGTTTTACTTACGCTTTTCATATAAAAAACAGCACATTTCCGTTTTCGTCTCGAATGTTTCCCCCTCACATTGGGGTGGTGATGCTGGTTCAAATGGACACGAAGGGCATACCCTTGTCCTTTTGCATGTTCTTGTACCATAAAGCAAACATCCGTCGGCAATTGCTTCCGCAACCAACTCGTCATCTAGTTTGCGACCCAACATCTCAAATTGTCTGCGAAGCAACTTGGCAATTAGTTTGGGATCCATCTTTTCAATTAGTTTGTAATACTTGTCAATTTGAGTAAGATACGACTCCTTAGTTAGTTTGGGATGCCACTGGTCAATTTCTTTGGGATTCAACTCGCCAATTGGCTTGAGATCCAAGTCGTTAATTAGTTTGAAAACTAACTCCTCCAATTGTTCGAGATCTAAAATTGGTTTACATTCTTCACATTCCCAGTCTGTCCATGGTCCCCACGTAATACAAACTAAAATGTTATAAATTCGTTCATTAAATTGCATCAAAATGTATTCTAGAACAACATTGGCTTGGTAGCAGATTGACAAAATATACATTCATATACATACCTTTATATACAGCACAGCAAGTTTCTGTTTTCGTCTCGTATGATCGGCCCACACATCGGGGTGGTGCATATGGACACACGCATTGGGATGGTACAAAGGGACAAGGAGGGCACACCCTTGTTCTATAACATGTTTTTGTACCAGATTTCCAACATTCCGGATCTGATATGCGTTGATTTGGTTCACATTCTGTCTCACATTCTGTACATTTCCAGTCTGCCCATGGTTCCCATGTTGTACAAGCTAAAAAGAGATAATAACGCACATACTTTACATTACATTTTATACAAAATATGTACTGCACTGCATTGCTATGCAATACACTGCACTGCCCCACCCAACTACTCGCTTCCTAGTCAACTCGTACCCAAGACAAGTCGTACCCAAGACAACTGGTACCCAAGACAACTCGTACCCAAGATGACTGGTACCCAAGACAACTCGTACCCAAGTTTTTCCAGTATTATGGGTGCATATTGGGAAAACAAATTGAGTTTGTATAATAATGTTTTCATGTTAAAATGTGAATCAAATAAGCCTCAATGCTTTTTTGAATTTAGAAGACATTTTTTCTCAATGGATTGAGTAAAGCATTTTGATTTAACTTGAATCACCTTTTTTATATAAAATAAAAGAAGTACTTGAAGAGCTTGTTCTCAACATTTTTTGTAAATAAATAATTACAATTGTAACTTTTCTACAAATGAATCAAACAATTAATTTTGTGCATTTAGAGAAAGTTTAAAGGAAGTTTAATCTGTTAATTTCTTTTCAACTTGGAACTTAATTGGATTATGTTTGAGCACATGTGTACAAAATGTATTATATCATGTATGTATAAGTACCAAAATAATATTTGATATTTATATTATATATTCGAACATGACTGTATTCACGCCTTCTATAAACTATAAACAAAGCCAATGCTTCAGCTGGGTTATATTCGAGATCAATAACCCAGTTAATACTTGAAATGTGTGACGTCATAACGGTGGGTCGTAGTAATACCATGATGAATATTCGAAACAATTTGGTGAGTTTTCATGTTTGAATCGTAATATAGACCTCAGAGCAGGGGTAATATCGTCGAATACACCCCTTGGGGCTAGGCACAAACGCTTTCGAACCCCTCACTCCCTTCGGTCGTTCTGGGTACAGAAAACGTTTGTGCCTAGCCCTGCGGGGTGTATTCGACGATATAACCCCTGCTTTTCGGTCTATATTTCTTAATTATTATATATACAGGGTGTGCCAAAAAACCACCCCCCTAGCCATTAATTCCGTTAAATATTTATTTTTTAACATGTACACCAACAATGATATATCATTTTAAAGATAATTTAATTTGCAACAAAATAATATATAATAGAACAGTTTTCAACAACCATGGTTCGAGATATAACCATTTATGTGACATGGAGGTCTAAAAACACCTTTTCAATTTTCATCGATTTTGCGAACAATAGCCTATTTCTACCAAATTTTACTTTTCAGTTAAAAATTGCAACATTGTCATGAGTCTTTCATTATTGGATATTATATATTGTTTTCATTCAGTTTTTGAACCATGCATGCTCAATAAACATGTGTATGCTTATAAAACAAATTCATTTCTTCTTCAGTCTTCAACAGAGCCACCCCCGAACTCACCTTCTGATCGGATTGTTCGCTAAAGACACGAAAAACATTGGTATAATTGATGGATCTCTGCGGAAGTACCATCAAACTCCTAATTATTCATTCTTCCAGTTTGTCTACATCCCTGATAGGCTAGTGATCTTCATAGACCAACTGTTTTCAATGCCCCAAGTACTATACATGTAATCAACAGGATAGAGTCTATATATCAGTAAGCAAGAATAGGGACATTTGCGATAAAAGGCTACTCAAATCGAGATGACATTTTTCTGAAAGGGTAGTGGTGTCCACTCGGTGTTTCCCAAAACATGCAGGCCCTGTTTTTTTTGAACTAGGAGCAAAAATATATATACTCTGAATGTTAATGACATGAGATGTTAAAAAGGACTCCTCAAGGATATAAAAAACATGTGAAAGAAATTTCATTTTCTGATAGGAAAGTGCTTCATCACACAGGTCCAATGCTACCCTGGAGTTTTTGGAAATTCGAAATGACGCCATCTCTAGCCCGGACAAATGGCTTACTGGCAGTCCGGATACCAATAACGTTGATTACCATACCTGGGGGCATCTAGAAAAGTTGGTATTTAAAGATACCCAGCCTATCAGGGATGTAGAGGAACTAAAAGAGAGAATAACTAGCAGTTGAATGGTACTTCCGCATACATCCATCAATTATGCCATCAACCAATGGCTTCCGCGTCTTAAGCATATAATCCGATCAGAGGATGGGTGGGGAGGTGGGTCTATTGAGCCATATTGGGACAGACTGAAGAAGAAATGAATTGGTTTTATAAGCATACACATGTTTATTGAGCATGCATGGTTCAAAACCTGAATGAAAACAATATATAATATCCAATAATGAAAAACTAATAACAATGTTGCAATTTTTAACTGAACAGTAAAATTTGGTAGAAATAGGCTATTGTTCGCAAAATCGATGAAAATTGAAAAGGTGTTTTTTGACCCCCATGTCACATAAATGGTTATATCTCAAGCCAGGGTGGTTGAAAACTGTTCTATTATATATCATTTTGTTGCAAATTAAATTATCTTTAAAATGATATATCATTGTTGGTGTACATGTTAAAAAATAAATATTTATCAGAATTAATGGCTAGGGGGGTGTTTTTTGGCCCACCCTGTATATTATATTATTCAAAATATTTTATTACTAGATATCATGAATGTGACTTCTGATAATATGAAATCCTAGACAAATAGATTATCTGTTAAATAAGAAATAAGGCCCAAGATTTAATAAATCTATATACCATCTTTCAAGATGAATTAGATCTGAAACTTGTTCTAAACAATCATAAACATTTTGAAAAATGATTATAAATATGTTGAATAAACATAGGACTCTTCACTCAAACATCCTGAATCTGTGACCAATATAAAATAATAGTCAAAATAAATTGACACTCAAAGCTCAAAATGTCACAAAATTAAATCAATTTCTTCCGAAATGCTTCTTCAAACTTTAAACTATTCTGAACAGTATGTAACAATTATAATATGTATATCTATTTACATTCCCAGTCCAACGGTTGATTCAAAAGAAAATATATACTTGGGTACGAGTTGTCTTGGGTAGCAGTTGTCTTGGGTACGACTTATCTTGGGTACGAGTTGACCAGTTACCCCACTACTCTAGGGGATGAACCATAAAAAGGAAAACAGAATAGGGGTTCTTAAACAGGACATTGGGTTTGTCTTGCCTCAAGACCCTTGACTATCTCCTCTAACATTTGTAAGTAGATAGTTAGCAAATAGTCCAGGGTCTTTGATCAAGACTATTGGGCTTGCCTTCTGGCGGTCAGGAGGGCCCGGAACTGAAGATGTTGGGCCAAAAATATTGTAGGGCCTCCTTTGTGGGCCTTTTTGGGCATTACTTGATCTTTTGGGCCTTATTTTTTCAATTTTAGGCCAAATTTTCAAAAACGTGCCACAAATTTTCAAAATTTTGGTTTTAGGGCCCTAAAAAATTTTACACACAGCCTTAGGATGAGCCCAGAAAAAAATGTTGGGCCAAAAACATTGTATGGCCTTTTTAGTTGGCCTTTATTTGACCTTTTTACTTGACCTTTTTGGGCCTTATTTTTTCAATTTCAGGCAAAGTTTTCAAAAAACGGGCCATAAATCTTCAAAATATTTAAGGGCCTCTTTAGTGGACCTCTTTGGGCATTAATTGACCTTTTTGGGCTTTATTTTTTTCAATTCAAGGCCAAATTTTAAAAAAAGGTGCATACATTTTCAGAATTTTTGCCCAAATTTTGGTTTTAGGGCCCTAAAAAGTTTACGCGCGGCCCTAGGATGGGCCTAGAAAAAATGTTGGGCAAAAATATTGTAGAGCCTCTTTAGTTGGCCTTTACTTGACCTTTTTACTTGACCTTTTTGGGCCTTATTTTTTCAATTTTAGGCCTAATTTTCAAATAACGGGGCATATATTTTTTTGCGGGGGCGGGGGGGGGGGGTTCGAGCCCCCCCTTACGAAAAGCTGGCTACGGGCATGAACGTTATGATAATACTTTCTAATAATATGAACTCACATATCGCATATGCACATACATCATTCACATGTCACATATATTTAATGTTGTAAACGTTATGATAATACTTTCTAATAATATGAACTCACATTTCGCATATAGTCACATACATCATTCACATGTCACATATCTTTAATGTTGTAAACGTTATGATAATACTTTCTAATAATATGAACTCACATTTCGCATATAGTCACATACATCATTCACATGTCACATATCTTTAATGTTGTAAACGTTATGATAATACTTTCTAATAATATGAACTCACATTTCGCATATAGTCACATACATCATTCACATGTCACATATCTTTAATGTTGTAAACGTTATGAGAATACTTTCTTATAATATGAACTCACATTTCGCATATAGTCACATACATCATTCACATGTCACATATCTTTAATGTTGTAAACGTTATGAGAATACTTTCTAATAATATGAACTCACATTTCGCATATAGTCACATACATCATTCACATGTCACATATCTTTAATGTTGTAAACGTTATGATAATACTTTCTAATAATATGAACTCACATATCGCATATGCACATACATCATTCACATGTCACATATATTTAATGTTGTAAACGTTATGATAATACTTTCTAATAATATGAACTCACATATCGCATATGCACATACATCATTCACATGTCACATATATTTAATGTTGTAAACGTTATGATAATACTTTCTAATAATATGAACTCACATATCGCATATGCACATACATCATTCACATGTCACATATATTTAATGTTGTAAACGTTATGATAATACTTTCTAATAATATGAACTCACATATCGCATATGCACATACATCATTCACATGTCACATATATTTAATGTTGTAAACGTTATGATAATACTTTCTAATAATATGAACTCACATATCGCATATGTCACATACATCATTCACATGTCACATATCTTTAATGTTGTAAACGTTATGATAATACTTTCTAATAAT